TTGGCGGACGGGCGGGCGTCAGCTTTTGGTTTCAGCTCAATTTCTTTAATTTGCTTTGGCCTATTGACCCCAAACTTAGTGTGTAGGTAGCTTATATCAAGAAGCAGCTTGAGATTGCTACTAAAGTGTTTGTGATCAAGGTCAAAGTCACTGTTACTAAAAATAGAAATTCAGTTTCTGCTCATTTACTTGTGTTTTCTTTGGCCTATTAACACCAAACTTGGTGCATGGGTAGCTTATATTAAGAGGCAGATTGGGATTGCTACCCAGGTGTCTGTGAACAAGGTCAAGGTAACTGTTGCTTAAAAAAGAAATTCAGTTTTCACATAATAACTTGAGTTGCTTTGACCTTTTGACACCAAACTTGCTGTGTGTCAGCTTTGGATTGCCACTTAGATATCTGAGAGCAAGGTCAAATTACCTTGTAATGGGTGTTGAACTCTGATGAAGTTGAGAAATCTGCATCTCAAGTTGGCATATTTCTCGTTCAACTCTAAATCTTTTTTTTCCAACAGCTGTTCTTGTAATTCTTGGAACTCTTCTTGTTCTTTAGGATATGCCATACTTAATGTTTAGAGTAAGTGACAGAAATTATTCTGTCAACTATCCAACAGCTGCTACCAAATCTGTAATGTATCTATGAGCGTGGTTTTGATAATAAGACAATTAAACTGAGATGTGATTCACCTATTATTTACAATATATCATATAAATATAATTTTCCTTATGGTTACCTTACCATTGATTGATTGGACAAAGAAATTATTACTGATTATATGGTACACAAATAAATCAAAGAAACAAATTATGTAATAAAATGCTTGATGAAACACACACAATATTTACAACCTATAGTCAGTCAACATCATAGAAGCTGGGCTGCTATATCTATTGGTGATTGTTGCTCAACTAATTGGTGAAGCTAAAAAAAAGATTAAAATTGATACAACTGATGATCCAATATCAGAGAAGCTGAGTTTCTATGATGCATAGGACGTATTTCTATAGTTGACACCCAGCAACTAGGGATTTAATTCAAGGACTACTATGCCCACAATTCATCTTCCTGGATATCTTGAAGTGTTACCTTCGATTCCAAGCCGAAAAGTGATTTCTAATGTGACTTCTCCTGCTTAGAAATGAAAAAGAGAAGCACCATCTTCTGGATTACTTTCCTTAATTCAGAGCTAAATAATCTCCTTTCCTACACATAACGTAATACTTAATAATGCCCCCCTTATATTGGGTATATTGCTTTGCATTTGTCTGTCGGTCAGTCTGTCGGTCTGTTTGTCCGTAGACCAAATGGTTCCGATCAATAACTAAAGAACGCTTAGGCTTAGGAACTTCAAACTTGGTTTGATGATTCTTCATGACCAGTAGATGACCCCTATTGATTTTGGGGTAATGGGGTAAAAGGTCAAGGTGACATTGACCTTGAAGGTAAAAAACGGTTTCCGATCAATAACTTTAGAAAGCTTAGGCCTAGGAACTTTAAACTTGGTATGATGATTAGTCATGACCAGCAGATGACCCCTATTGATTTTGGGGTCAAAGGATCAAAGGTCATGGTCACATTTATCCTTGTAGGTAAAACAGTTTCCAATCAATAACTTGACAACCCATGGGCTGTTGGCCCTCAAACTTCGTAGGTGCATTGGACTTGACTAGTAGATGACCTCTATTGATTTTGGGGTCAAAGGGTCAAAGATCAAGGTCATATTGACCTTGTAGGTAAAAACTGTTTTCGATCAATAACTTTACAAGCTTCTAGGCTGTTGACCCTCAAATTTTGTAGGTTCATCCCCTATTGATTTTGGGGTCAGGGGATCAAAGGTCAAGGTTGCATTGACCTTGTATTTCAAAATGGTTTTCTATCAATAACTGGACAAGCCATGGACCCTTGACTTTCAAGTTTTACAGATGCATTGCTTTTGGTCAGAAGATGACCTCAATGGATTTTTGGGGTTAAGAGGTCAGAGCTCTAGATCACATTTACCTTATAGGTAAAAATGCTTTCTCATCAATATCCCAACAACTCATAGGCCCTTACCTTTTAACTTTACAAGTGCATTGGTCTTGGCCAGTAGCCCATCTTGATTTAAGGGTCAAAGGTCAATGTCATATTGACCTTAATGTAACCCAACAACTCAAAAACTGAAGTTGCCTTGGTTGATATTTTTATATTAAACTAAAAATGCTTTTGATATACACATTTGAAGGTCTTATGTAATATAACAAGTTGGCTGGCCTACATGATTCATAAAATTTATGCATATATTATTTGGTAAGATTTGTAATAACTTTGTCATGAAATCGCTGCACACAACCAATTGGCTGCCGATAGGGAGCGTACATGTTTTACAAACATATCTTGTTAAACTTACCTTTATAAATGTATCATGTCAATAGACTCTTTCCAAAAAGATATAACATACGGTAGTAATAAACAAATATAACATAAAAAAAGAAACATTTTACAATACTTAATTTACCAACTAATAAATAATTGTTGTCCAGAAAGGTAGATGCAAATGGCCTATTAAGTTAAAATGACAAAAATCTTGTATTGCTATACAAGCGCTTCGTACATAAATAAATTTGTCACACCTCTATTGTAGGGCTGGGGCGAGTATTCGAGAACTTGGATAATCATGACTCAAAATGAAAAATCGAGTATGAATATTCGTCAGTCCAGAGATTGTGGATTGCGATTTTATTTGTTGTGCCCCCACTTCAAAGAAAATGGGGTATATTGCTTTGCATTCGGTCCATAGACCAAATGGTTTCCAAGTGATAACTAAAGAACGCTTAGGCCTAGGAACTTCAAACTTGGTATGGTGATTGGTCATGACCAGCAGATGACCCCTATTGATGTTGGGGTCAAGGGGTCAAAGATCAAGGTCACATTGACCGTGTAGGTAAAAACAGTTTCCGATCAATAACTAAAACTCTTAGGCCTAGGAACTTCAAACTTGGATTGGTAATTGGTCATGACCAGCAGATGACCCCTATTGATTTTGGGTCAAGGGGTCAAAGGTCAAGGTCACATTGACCTTGTAGGTAAAAACTGTTTCAGATCAATAACTAAAGAATGCTAAGGCCTAGAAACTTCAAACTTGGTATGATGATTGGTCATGACCAGCAGATGACCCCTATTGATTTTGGGGTCAAAGGTCAAGGTCACATTGACATTGTAGGTGAAAATGGTTTCAAATCAATAACTCAAGAACGCTTAGGCCTAGAAACTTCAAATTTGGTATGATGATTGGTCATGACCAGCAGATGACCCCTATTGATTTTGGGGTCAAGGGGTCAAAGGTCAAGGTCACATTGACCTTGTAGGTAAAAACTGTTTCTGATAAATAACTAAAGAACGCTTAGGCCTAGGAGCTTCAAACTTGGTATGATGATTGGTCATGATCAGTAGATGACCCCTATTGATTTTTGGGGTCAAGGGGTCAATGTCATATTGACCTTGTACTTAATGACGGTTTCTAACCAATTACTCAAAAACTCAAGTTGCCTTGGTTGATATTTTTATATTAAACTAAAAATGCTTTTGGTATACACATTTGAAGGTCTTATGTAATATAACAAGTTGGCTGGCCTACATGATTCATAAAATTTATGCATATATTATTTGGTAAGATTTGTAATAACTTAAATTGCTGCACACAACCTATGTGGTCACAATAATTATTACCTTGTGACTAGTCATGACCAGTAGATACTAGATAACCCTTATTAATTGTTTGTTCACTGGGTCAGATTAGTCATGCATAATAACCTGATCACATGACTCAATTGGCTGCCGATAGGGGGCATACATGTTCTACAAACATATCTTGTTTATTATATATTCGTTGTTTCTCACACTCTAAAAGGCGAAAAAAAATAAGTACAATTTGAGTATGAATTGGGCATTATGCAACGTTTACTTAAATACAATATGGAGATTAAAGACAGGAATTAAACAAGTACCATGATGCTGAGCTAAGAAGTCATTGGTTTTGAAATAAGGAATAACTTTGTCTTTTTGAGCACTATGCTTTTAAAGGAAAATAAATATTTTAGTCGCTATATATAGATCTCGATTTATAATAACCTGACATGTATCGAAGACGATTTTATTTTTAATCATTCAAAATATGCGAAACTCAAGTTAATAATTACGTTAGTGTGACATGTTCACACATCCTCTCTGCAACAATTGCTGAAAAAAGTCGTGCTGAAGATAATTTTACTTCCAATGTTTGGAAATATTTGTCTTTTCATGTGATTAGATAAGTTTGTTGTACCACCGGTATAAGTCAATTCTCCGTAGCATGTTTAACAAACTGTTTTTCTCTCATTTTCAATTGAAATACCAAAGTATTTCCAAACATTGGAAGTAATTTAAATTTTGCTGGTGGCATTTTATATTGGTGCGACACCTTTTCAACCTTTAAATTTAGTTTATATATGCATATATGTTCAATGTTTAGCATTTTTTAAAGAAAAATAAACATGATTTCAAAACTTATAATTACATATTTTTATGGGTGTCTTGATAACAAAAGATTTGTGGTTCGATTTGTGTATCGTAAGTGATGAATCGTGGACTGGATCGGATCGTCACTTATCCGACGATCCACACCCCTACTCTATTGGTTCATTTACTTACCTTGGTGCTTGTTTCTGCCGTTGAGTTTTAAAATTCTTAAGTTACTATTGGATAATTTCTGTGGGGTTTTTTCACCTGCCTCACAGTGTTACTCCATAATCAGGAAGTTAAAGATTGAAGTTCTACATTATGTTTTTGTGTTAAAACATTTTGAGTAGAGGTAAGGTGATACAATGATATTGAATGTTACCTAATAGACAGAAATTATCTTAATTGATAACTGTCCAAATTAAAGGAGCTAACTTGAATAAAATTATCTTTTAATCTTCTGTGATGATAAAACTTTTTGAGAGTAAATTAATGTAGTAAACAATAATGGAAACTTATTTTGCAGAAGCCCACATGTCAACATTTAACCAAGAAGCTGATGCTCAAGTGCATAATCAAAACGTTTTAGAGAAGGAGAATGCCGCAGGAGACGACATGAATGCTGAACAAAATGAAGAAGTGAATGCACTCAAAAATTTTGCACAGAAGTTAAACTTGCGATCTGTACTGACTGCAGACCTAAATGATGATTTATTCATGCAATCCTCTGACATCAGTCCAAACTGCAACGATTACATGTCGTCCCCTTTGATTGAATCTTTTATCAATGGGCAATATCAGAATACAAGTACACCAAAACTGAACGCAAAAAATTTTGAAAAGAAGAAAAGTTTAAAAGATTACCGTGTAAACTATGGCCAAGGTCCGAGGTATATCTGTAACAAGTGCGGTTATGGTACAGAGAATTACAAGACTATACACAACCATATGTACAGGCACGAATCTCAGCGATACCAATGTCCGTACTGTGGATATAGAAGGTCTCCAAAGTAGGTGCAATTATGTATGATTATATTCCCCCGACGAAAAGGCCGCAGGGATATGGTAATAGTCTCTGTCTGTCAATCGTACATTAAGTCCCACATTTTGTCCAGTGCATAACTCAAAAAGTATTAGAGATATCAACTTGAAACTTCATAGGTAGATGGATCCTATTAAGGAAGAGTGCAACACAAAAGAATTATAACTCTACTCTTCAAAGGTTTTTGGGCTAACGATTTATTGCTAAACCATGTCTTGGCCTATTTGCAGCATTTTGCAGTTTTGCATTTTGTTGTAACCTAATGGAAAACTATGCTCATTTATGGAAGCATACACATTTGAAAATAGTTCTTAAATATGCCTACTTTAAAAAACAACTAGGCATCAAGTCTCCCATTTTGCTACTTTACTGATCAGAGTAAGTTATCACTGCTGGGAGTTTGCTTGCTTAGTGGACATAATTTTGATAGTGTGGCTAACAAATTAGTAATATTATTTTACTTTTTATTCTAAGGCTCAATCTTTCCAAGATATTTACTTTTCATATCAATTGTAAACTAAATTGATAATGTGTTGCTATAATTATGTCTCCAAAATAATGTGTTTGCTTTTGCTGTCTGTCTGCACGTCTGTCTGCACTACTGAATAGGGTTAGAGGGCCATCTAAATGTAAACAAACAAAAGAGAACAAAAGAGTTCATTTCGTAACACCAGAGGAAGGAGCCAATGGCCCTTTATTAAACAAAAGAAAATAACTATAGAAATGGCCCTTTATCCCAATTTGGTCGCATGTTCGTCCCTCTGGTTGTCCATCAGCATTAAGCTTGTTGGGCTTTCACAGGTCTTGTGGGATTTCAACCAATGTTCAAAGGTGTGATCATTTCCATTATAAACTAGTTGTGCATATCGACAGCTTGTTCTGCTTCGCTACACAAAATGACTGCCGGAGCTAAAAAATAGAAAAATCTTGTCCGCTTTCACATGTTAAACTGCTGGTGGGATTTTAACCAAACTTTACAGGAATGATCAGTACCATCCCTAGTTGTGCATATCAGCAACACATTCTGCTTGGCTAAACAAAATGGCTGCCAGAGCTAAAAATAGAACAAGAATAGTGATTAATGGCTTTCACAGTGCTGGTGGGATTTCAACCAAACTTCACATGTGTGTTCAGTATCATCCTTAGATGTGCAAATCACAGGCACGTTCCACCTTGCTGCACAAAATGGCTGCCAGAGCTAAAAATAAAAAAACTTGTCCAGCTTTCACATGTCAAACTGCTATTAGGATTTCAACCAAACTTTACAGGAGTGCATATCCTTAGCACATTCCGCTTCACTGCTCAAAATGGCCACCAGAGCTGAAAATAGAAAAATCTTGTCCAGCTTTCACAGGTCAACCTGCTGGAGGGATTTCAACCAAACTCAAAGTTTGAATATGGGTCATTTGTGGTCAAAAACTAGGTCACAGCAGCTAAAAATAGAAAAAATCTTGTCAACACTTTAGTGGCTGCAGTTTTGATCCAAACATCCTGGAAATTTATCAGGAAGGAAAAATGTTTTGATGATTCTAGGTCAAGATCAAATATAGGTCATCTCCGGTCAAAAACTAGGTAACAGGAGCTAAAAATAGAAAAATCTTGTTAACACTCTAGTTGTTGCTGTTTTGATCCAAATATTCTTGAAATTTGTCAGGAAAATTGTTTTGATGATTTCTAGAATGATCAAGTTTGAATATGAGTCGTCTCCGGTCAAAAACTAGGTCACAGGAGTTAAAAATAGAAAAATCTCTTTAACACTCTAGTGGCAACTGTTTTGATCCAAATATCCTGGAAATTGGTCTGAAAGTTTGTTTTGATGATTTCTAGGTCAAGTTCGTATATGGGTTGCTTTGGGTCAAAAACTGAGTCACAAATATGGAGAAACCTTGTTAATACTCTAATGGTAACATTTTTGACTCAATTGTCATCAAACTTAGTCAGGATGCTTGTCTACTTAATTGCTAGGAGGAGTTCGAACATGGGTCATCTCTGATGAAAAACTAGGTCACAGGAGCTAAAAATAGAAAAAAAATGTGAACTCTCTAGTGGCTATGTTGTTGTCCAAATATCCTGGAAATTGTTCTGCAAGTTTGTTTTGATGATTTCTAGGTAAAGTTTGAATATGGGTCACCTGGTCACACACAATACTAGTATGGAAAAACACTCTAGAGGTCACATTTTTAGCTAGAGTATACAAAGTATATGTAGAGCTGTCCTACTTGACCCGTCCTCGGCAGCCAGATTTCAGATTAAAGTTTTGGTGTAGTAAAATATTTTTTAACTATACCTTTTTCATTTCTTAAGTTATCAACTTCATACTTCAAATATATGTTACTTATCATCAACCACATCTTAGGTGACAAGGTTCATAACTCTAGCATTAATATTTTCAGATTTATCTCCCCTTGAACAAAGAATTTTCCTTAAAAAATATTATTAGTCCCCTACCGGTTTAACCGGAGGGGACTTTAGGTTTACCCTCCGTCCGTCTGTCTGTCTGTCCGTCTGTCTGTCTGTCTGTCTGTCTGTCTGTCTGTCAGTCTGTCAGTCCGTCAGTCCACAAAACTGGATCCCGCGATAACGCAAAAAGTACTGAAAATATTTTTATGAAACTTGATATATGGATAGATGGCAGTATGGAGATTATGCACGTCTTTTTTTTTCTTCCTATGTTGAAAATTCTGGTTGCTATGGCAACAAATAGTCTGAAAATATGGCAAATTTAACACATAAACTGGATCCAGTGATAACTCAAAAAGTACTGAAAATATTTTTATGAAACTTGAAAATATTGGTAGATGGCAGTCTGGAGATTATGCACATCTTTTTTCTTTTCTTCCTATGTTGAAAATTCTGGTTGCTATGGCAACAAATAGCCTGAATTTCAAGATTTCTGATTTAAATTTTTCAGCTTTTTCACTATATGTTCTTTATTTTCTTAAGGTGTTTACTTCAAACTTTAAATATAAGTTTCTGGTCATCAACCACATCATATGTGACAAGGCTTATAACTCTAGCACAAAAAATATCAGTATTACCTCCTTGAACTTAGATTTTTTTAGGGGAAAAAATGTTGTCTTTTTTAAATAACTTCTTTATTTCCTAATGTATCTACTTCAAACTTCATATATATGTTTCTTATTATCACTCGACATTTTTGAGAAGGTTAAATACTGTAGCAAGACTATTTCCAGAATTATGTCCCCCTTGAACTTAGATTTTTTTTCGAGAAACTGGTATTTTCACTCCAACTTCTTCATTCCTTATAGGATTTACTTTAAAATCCCACATCGTAATAATATGACAAGGTTGTATAAACATAATTTCCTTACTAAGCATGGAAACTTAACACATTACTGTGATATAGACAAACTTATTTTATTATGTTTTGTGGTTGATATTTTCAAATACAGACTTCATCCTCAAATTCATTATAAATGGCAATAAACAGGAGTGTATGACAATTAAAGAACTTTTTGAGGGACCGGTAGGGGACTACTGTATTGCCCGCAATACTATCAAATGCTTGTTTTTTTACTGTTACTTCTTTATATCTTAAGGGATCATCTTCATACTTCAAATATATAAAGCTGTGTTTATATTTTTTTCACTATTTTCTGTCCTTAACTGAGTGAATGTGTAAATTTTTTTTGAAATATTGTTACTGACAAGAATCTGAGCCCCGCCCCCCTGTCTCCATGTAACTATGCTATTTGGACCACACTTGTAGACTTTTGAAATTTGATAACAGCTGACTTGGATTTTTACAAAGTGACTTACTTTTGATTTTTGATATCAGCTGACTTAGATAGTTTGATAAAGTGACCTACTTTCTTGTCCTTTGATGTGGAGCTTCAATATTTGACGTTTTGACGTGTTATAAAGTCTGCAGATTCCGTCGATACTGTTAGAGCCATCGTCCTACCGGGCTCAAGCACCAACCTTTCCTTAGGGCTCTGCAGATGTTATAACACGTCAAAACGTGTGTTTACCCTATATTTAGATAGCAATTCAATTATCAACTGGATTCTAAACAAACAAAGAAAGAGGGAAATCAAAACAGACAAAATCATCCTTATAAAATACTGGAAATATTTTTATGAATTTTGATATATGGGTAGATGGCAGTCTGGAGATTATGCACATCTTTTTCTTTTCTTCCTATGTTGAAAATTCTGGTTGCTATGGCAACAAATAGACTGAAAATATGGCAAATTTAACACATAAACTGGATCTAGTGATAATGTAAAAAGTACTGAAAATTTTTATGAAACTTGAAATATTAGTAGATGGCAGTATGGAGATTATGGATGTCTTTTTTTTTTTGTTCCTTTGTTGAAAAAATTGGTTGCCATGGCAAAGGCTTAAAACATGGCAAATATAACAATATTTGTGATTAGTCAAAAAGAGCTGAAAAATTTTATGAAACTTAAAATATGGATAGATAGCAGTATGGAAATTATACACATCATTTTAATCTTGACTATAGGGAGTATATTGAGAGCTGTCATACTTAACAAACGTCTTTAACCTCTTCAAGATTTCTGATTCTAGTTTTTGTGTCGCCTTTAAAAAGGGCGACATATAGGGGTTACTTTTGTCGCCGGTGTCGTTGTCGGCATCCCCTTAATAAGCTTGTCCAGAGCATAAGTCAGTCATTATAAGTCGGATTGACTTCAAACTTGGTATGCATACTTCTTATAATGACCCGAAGTGCAGTGCACAAGAACCGGTACTCTGTACTTCTTAATTTTTGATTTATTGCCCTTTGTTAGTTTTCATACTTTATTTTTGTCCGGGCCATTTCTCCTAATGTATAAAAGCTATGGACTTGAAACTTCATAGGATGATAGATCTCATTAAAAAGAAGTGCAGTGCACAAGAACTGGTACTCTGCATTTCTTATTTTTTGAGTTATTGCCCTTTGTTCATTTTTTTATACTTTCCTGTGTCCAAAACCTTCTCAGGGATCATCACTCGGTTCAACCGGTTCTTGTTTTTTTAAATACTATATTTCTACACATTGATTGAAAAAACAGTGCATCTTACGACGTTATAATCTACATAAATTACCGTAATTTTCTAAATAATGTAAAGTTAAGATAAAACTTGTCTGAACAGCCAATAAGCAAATCCTCAAATGATTTTTTTACACACCTTTCATGCCTCGACACTAACTTTTTTAGCAGGTGGTACGCCTGACCACTAGATTTGAAAGTTAAGTGGTCCTTCCAGAAGTCAGGTGGTCAATTATCATTATTATATCATTTTACTGCAGATGTAGAAAAAAATGTTTAAACTTGATGACAAAGATGTATTATTAACCATTAAAGAAAACAGATATTTTTAGATTATATATTTTTCATCTAATCAGAAAAGGGAGAGCAAGTGACAGTAGGTATTCTATGGTAGAGTTATTTGTTTGTTTGTAACGTAAAAAGTACTGAAAATATTATTAAGAAACTTTAAATATGGGTAGATGGCAGTCTTGAGGTTATGCACATTTTTTTTTTTACTTCCTATGTTGAAAATTCTGGTTGCTATGGCAACAAATAGCCTAAATTTCAAGATTTCCGATTTAAATTTTTCAGCTTTTTCACTATAAGTTCTTTATTTCTTAAGGTGTTTACTTCAAACTTTAAATATAAGTTTCTGGTCATTAACAACATCATATGTGACAAGGTTTACAACTCTAGCACAAAAATTATCAGTATTACCTCCCTTGAACTTAGAATTTTTATGAAAAATAAAAGTTGTCTTTTTTAAATAACTTCTTTATTTCCTAATGTATCTACTTCAAACTTCATATATATGTTTCTTATTATCACTCAACAATTTTGAGAAGGTTAAATACTGTAGCAAGACTATTTCCAGAATTATGTCCCCCTTGAACTTAGATTTTTTTGAGAAATTGGTATTTTTTACTCCAACTTCTTCATTCCTTATAGGATTTACTTTAAAATCCCACATCGTAATAATATGACAAGGTTGTATAAACATAATTTCCTTACTAGGCAGGGAAACTTAACACATTACTGTGATATAGACAAACTTTGAACTCAAAATATTTAAGTTCATTCATGTCAGTCATTCATTCAATGGTATAATTGAATGGCCAATGGCCCATCAGAATGTTGCTGGGGTTCTAACCGGTAGGCCGACTTATGGATTGCTTGCAATACTATGATAATTGCTTGTTAAAAAAATAACAATGTTATATATAACTATAGTTTAGTTTATTTTTCTCACAGATATTTTTACCTCCCTGTTGCTTGTTGGTTGATATTCATTTTTGACATTGAGTATTTTTAACCATTTAAAGTTATTTTTACTCTAGAAGAAATAGATCTCTTATCGTTATACAGTTAAAATAAAGATAGATAGCAAAGAACTACTAGATGTATTTTTTCCAGTTCCTTTCGTTTGCTGCCATTATTCAAGTATCTGAAATTAAAGTTTATCTGATATCATATAATTACCATGATCGGATACTCACGGTTGATTAACAATTGTAACATAACATAAATGTTAATGGTTCTGCTGTGGGTATCCGACGATGCATAATGTACTAGCACCATTTGAATGAATTTTATACCTAAATTAACATCACAAATTCTCAACTCTTTCAACTTTCATAAACAAAATTTTAGCGACTTCAAATGAAAGTTATTGATGACTTAAGAACTTCTTTAACTAATCAGAGATTAATGAACCATGTACATCAGACACATGATTTTAAACAAAATTATATAACATTTTTTTGACCAAATCGCCATTCTCCCAAATGAGTCTTGCATCAACCAGAAAATTTATGTGGTCCGATGGACCAGTGGGTTTTAAAATTAGGTAGTCCTTGCCAAAATCAAGTGGTCTCGGACCAACGGACCACTGCTAATGTTGGGGCCTGCCTATAGTACAGTCATGTAAATGTATCATACTTTTCACGTGCACATCCCCGCCAAAATCAAACACTGTAGGCGACAATCATAACCCAGCTCAACCATGTACGCGGTAAGTTGCCTGGCAACGTGTGTAAATACATATGTCTGTTTGATATTAGTATCAACAAAATCAATAATACTATCAAATGATATTTATTTCAAATTTTCAAAAGTATGCACTTTTGTTCATTTATTTAGACATTGTTGTACATAAATGCATTTGCTAGTTTTGTACTTTATATTACTAGAAACTGAAATCTAGAATTACAAATTTCTAGTTCTGTCTCAATTATAAGAATGAATCTTCAATTATGTTGGTTTTTAGGATATATTATGCATGTAAAACGAAATCATACAATATTGAGGCCAGAAATAAATTCTTGTATAGAATGGTACTAAAACATATTGCGTTACAACTATTTAGAGTATATAATGCATTAAGATTTAAGTTTACAGGAATTTCAGGCTTTGTCTTGTTTCTGTCACATATCTGTGTTGTTAAAATGTTTCAGTTGCTTATCGTGCTTTACAAAACAGCGTTGAATCCGAAACAATTTGTCCTTATAGCAGATAAACCTAAACAAAAGGATATTCATTTATTTCGAGGAAATCTATAGAATATTGAAAGAAAAATTAAATCGAAGAAATGAAAATTTTGCCTGTGTCTCCCTTTAATGATCTAAGACAGCTAAATAAATATTCTTACTTTTGTGGTGTTCCTCTCTTTTCTACTATTTTCCTACTTTTTGGCAAAAAATGTTCCTACTTTCTGGTGTGAGACAACTTGACAGCCTGTAATGGTCATTGACAAACAGCTCATATTGGAAATGAATTATACAAAATTTTAATCTGCTTAAAATATATTAAAGAATGCCCCACTTTTTAGCTCACCAGAGCACATAGTGCTTAAGGTGAGCTATTGTGATCCTAATTTGTCCAGCCTCCATCATCCATCAGTGTGACTTGAACTCTTTTTGACAGTTTACCGTTCTGATTTAATATGTGATTAATAGAATATTATATTAGTGTAGATTCAATACTTAAGCTATTGAACTCATTGAATAAAACAATATTATGCTTGCCAGAGGCTCAAATAATATGATTTTATTCAACTCATTCAATAAATTTAGTATAAAACCTACACTCATTCAATATCCTCTATATATGTATGCTTGATATGATAAAAAAGGCTGAAAATGATAAATTCAAGTATTTTTATTGCTAACACTTTAAATATCCTTTAATTTCAGATCATTTGTTGAGAATCATATAAGAGAAGTACACAAAGGTCATCCTGTTATAGTAACAGAGTTAACAATAGATCAAGAAATGACAGATGCTCCTATAGGTACTGTAACTTAACTGTTTTACAGATCAATGTTTGTACACCGTTTATTTAAAACTATGTAAAATCATATTTTAAGATTTCGATTCCCAAGACAATTTTATGGTATACCAAGGTAGTTAAAGAAAGTTATTATGCCCCCCTTCGAAGAAGAGCTGGGGGTCTATTGTTTTGCTAATGTTGGTCTGTCCGTCGGTAGACCACATGGTTTCTGCTGATTATCTTGAAAACTATTTATTACAAAGTCTTCATATTTCACATAGTGATTGGTCATAACTAGTAGATGACCTGTAATGATTTTGGGATCACTAGGTTAAAGGTCAAGGTCACAGGGGCCTTAAATGTCAAAATGGTTTCTGCTGATTACTTTGAAAAGTATTCATCACAAAGTTGTCCTATTTCACATAGTGATTGGTCATAACTAGTAGATGACCCCTATTGATTTTGGGGTTGCTAGCTCAAGGTCACAGGGGCCTTAAATCTCAGAAGGGTTTCCCCTGATTATCTTGAAAAGTATTCATCACAAAGTCTTCATATTTCACATATTGATTTGTCATAACTAGTTGATGACCCCTATTGATTTTGGGTTCACTAGGTCAAAGGTCAAGGTCACAGGGCCATAAATGTCAGAAGGGTGTCCGCTGATTATCTTGAAAAGTATTCATCACAAAGTCTATATATTTCACATATTGATTGATCATAACTAGTAGATGACCCCTATTGATTTTGGGGTCAATAGGTCAAAGGTCAAGGTCACAGGGGCCTCAAATGTCAGAATGGTTTCCGCTCATTATCTTGGTTACAGTTCATCTGAAAGTCTTCATTTATCACATATTGATTGGTCATAACTAGAAGATGACCCCTAATGATTTTGGGGTCACTAGGTGTCAAGGTCACAGGGGCCTTGAATGGTCATATGATTTCTGCTTATTATCTTGGTTACTATTTATCTAAAAGTTTTCATATTTCATATATTGTTTGGTCATAACTAGTAGATGACCCCGATTGATTTTGAGGTCAAAGGTCAAGGTCACAGGGTCTTTGAATGATAGTATGATATCAGATCATTATCTGGAAAGATAATCATCACAAAATCTTCATATTTCACAGAGTTATTGGTCATAATCAACAGATGATCCGTATTGCTTTTGGGGTCACTAGATCAAAGGTCAAGGTCACAGGGGCCTTAAATGTCACAATGGTTTCCGCTTATTATCTTGAAAACTATTTATCACAAAGTCTTCATATTTCACATACTGATTGGTCATTATAAACTAGTAAGTTACCCCTATTGATTTTGGGGTCCCTAGGTCAAAGGTCAAGCTCAATTTATCTAAGTCTTCATATTTCTAATATTGATTGGTCATAACTATTAGATGACCCCTATTGATTTATGGTCACTAGTTCAAAAGTCTAGGTCACAGGGGCCTTTAATGTCTCATTATCTTTAAATTCATAATTTATCTCTAAGTCTCAAAGTATTTTTCTTTTTTCCATAATTGAACACTTGTATCCATTTATGGCAAGTTTCTATAACAAAATTATCAAAAATGTGAGTCAATGGCTAGAAAGGGGGGCATATGTGTCGTTCGACATTGCACTGACTACCATATAACTCGTTAATTCTGCGGGTGCAATTTTTTGCGTTTTGGGACATAAAATGGGTATATTAATTTTTGCGAATTTAATTTCTGAGTTTTTCATTAAAAACGTTTATAAATTTAATTTCTACTTAGCATGTATACAGCCTTCAAACTTGCTCAACTTATTACACAATAAACTACATGTAAAATCCAGATTGGTGTGTATATTGATTAATTTAACAGGTAAATTGAGGTGACAAACGGGGTAAATTACATATAAAACTATGAAATATTTGCGAATTTAATTTTTGCGGTCGGAAGGGACTCGCAAAATATGGCAGAAATTAGCTATCCGCAGAAATAACCAGTTATACAGTATATGTTAAATGTAAGGTCAACTTGTACATTTCATGGTACATAGAAATTTAAAAAACAAAATAATAATTCCAATAACTTTTATGTTCCCAACCTTGATAATGTCAGTGGGGCATATTTTGTAACCCCTGTCTGTCCATTTGTGCATAAGTATGTGTGTTTGAAAACTTTGTATGGTGCATAACTGTTGTGCATTAAGAGTTTTTGAAAAATTTTGACAGAAATGCTGAACATTAACAGACCATGTGTCATGCAAAAGACATAGAACCCTAGCTCTAAGGTCAAAGTCACACATAGTGGTCGGCAGTTAAATATTGTCTGGCACATAACTCCCTCATGCTTCAAGGTATTTTTAAATGATTTGGCACAAATGTTAAGCATGATGAGATGGTAATATTATGTGCAAAATTTAGACCCTAGCCCTCCTGTTAAAGTCACACTTAGAGGTCACAGGTCAGCAATTAGAAAATATTGTGCGACCATAACTCTGTCATGCATCTAGGGACTATCAACTCAAAATGGCTCATTTATGACTTTAAATGACCTTGAAGATTAAATTATTGAATTGTAACTGATTTTTGCAATAACTGTAAATTTATAATTAATAAATGGATTGTCTTCATACTTCATACAAAACAGCATTTTGGACAAGACTTTCTAGGAGGTTGAACTTACTTTGACATTGAGCTTTAAATGATCTTGATTGTCAAGGTCAAATTATTGAATTTTGGTTAAATTGTCATAATTTTATTATTTATGTACATATTTGATTTGTACTTTGACAAAACAAGACTTCCTATCAAACAAACATATTAAATAATTCAGATGTGACCTTGACCTTTAATTGACCTTGATTATTGAGGTAAAATTAATAAAATTATCTTATTTCACCTATAGCAATGAGATTTGGACCATGCCCTGTGTGCACAGTTTTAGATGTAATATCAGCTGACCTAGATTGAAGTGACATATTTTTATACCCCTGGCCATATAGTAATTGAACCTTATTCTTTTGACAGATGTCTCTTGTATTTGGTAGAAACATAAAATTGGGGTCTTTTTCTTCGGATGGAGGTAGGGGTCAGTGGGTCAAGGTCACCAGTGCTAAAGGTCACCAGTGCTAAAAATAATTTTTTTTTACACTTTTGCCCATATAGCCTTTATTTATTGAAAAATGTTTTACATATCTGGTAGGAAGATAACTTGCAGGGTATTCTTCCTTTGGATGGATTTAGGAGTCAGTTGGGTCAAGGTCACCAGTGCTAAAAATAGATTTTTACACTTTTGTCCATATAGCCTTTATTTATTGACAGATGTCTTTCAATATTTGATACGAAGATATCTTGCATAGTTTTTGGATTGAGTAAGGGGTCAAGTGGGTCAGAGTCAATAAAGGGTGCCAAAAATAGCTTTTTATACATAAGCTTATACAGCCTTTATTTATAGACTGAAGTTTTTCATATTTGAAAGGAACATAAACACAAAATTTAGCTTTAATATCAGCTGACCTAGATTTAAGAAGTAACCTTCTTTCTTGACCTTTGATATACATCTATGAAATTTGAAACATGTGCACAGTTTCAGATGTAAAATTGAACATGGAACATTATTAAAAATATTGCTACTCGGATAAAACAACAAATCGACTTGACCTACCTTTTTAAAGATTTGTTTAAAACTTTTTTATGTGTTTGCTTTTAGAAAAAGTAAAAAGGTCGAGCATTGCTTCTCCCCCGGCTGTGGCTCTTGTTTATATTATTTGGTGTTAAAAAGAAGCTTAAAACTGTTCATACTGAAGCATATAATCAATCAGCAATTCTCTTAATCTCAACTTTTTTGAAGAAAAATAAAGCTGTCACAAAATGACAAAGTGAGATTTTGTAATCGTAATTTGTCCGTCCGTAAACTTTTACTGTAAACGACATCTCCTCATAAACTGCTAATCCAATGCCATCCAAACTTCACAGAATATTCCTTTGGTAGTCACCTTTAAAAATTGTTTAAAGAATTTAATTCCAATGCAGAACTCAGAAAAAAAACTTAAAAATCTTCTTTTTTAAAACCCAAAGAGCTAGAGCTTAGATATTTCGCATGAAACATCAAAGTCAAAATTGGCCCGCCCAAGGGGGTCATTGATTTTCCCTATATTTACACATCTTTTGAAACTGTTGTTTTCCCTTAGCAGTAGAAACCAGTAATGTTTTGCACATACACTATTAAATTTTCAGATAAAGGTTTAAATGTTATATCTGCTTTTGTTTATAGTTTACAATTATACTTGTTCATTGTCATTGAGAGTTTTCATATTCAGATTAGCAATTTCAGGGCCATCATAGCCCTTTTGTTTCTATGATTGGTTATAAATTTGTTATTTATTAATCATGGTTTGTCTTTAATAATGACACAACAATCTGTTGTGTAAGACCTTTATGAAGACACAATTTAATATAACTTCCACTTCCAGGTTTTGCTTGCTTTTTCTTTAATTGGCTATAAATTTTTAACCAGGTTTTCCGAAGGAAAAAACTGGTTATTAGATTGAGGTATGTCGGCGGGCGGGCAGGCGGGCGTAAACAATTTCTTCTGTGCGCAACTCCTCCTACATTTCTCAACGGATTTTGACTAAACTTTCACAGAATCTTTGTCATCAAGTGTCCTGGTGCATATTGTCGGGGTTTTATGATTGGATAATATTTTACCTAATTATGGCCCTTTGTTTGTTTTTTTCTGATACAGAATAAATATAGAAGATACAACAGATGATGAATTAAATATAAACAAGTTCACACACGAAAGAAAGGACCGTAAAAGTTGTCATAAAGGCGGGGGAATTGTAATATATATTGCTGACAAGGTGCCATATCGGCGCCGTTACGATATAGAAACGGACGAATTAGAATCTGTTTGGTTGGAAATTATTTACCCAAATTGCAAACCTTTTCTTTTAAATTTTATATATCGCCCACCAAATGTTCACCAATCTTGGATTGACGATTATGAAAAACAACTAAGTATAATAGATATATCAAATATAGAATATCATAT